TCTCGCTTGCATGGCGAGTGCTCTAACCACGGAGCTACAGGACTCCACGATATGATATGCACTCACATTCAAAGGTCAAAATTTTCCAACAAGGAGAGAACCACCATGATTCTTAGTCATGCAACTGATCTGAAATAAAGACTAAGTAGCAATCTAGGCAAGTCAGTCATTTAGTGAGGTTTGTGTCAGTCTCTCTCAGACTCACTCAGATCTCACTGATATGACAACCATAAGTTGTTACCAGCAGCACATCTGTTAACATATTGAAGACAAAGCACTTCCTATGATTTAATCAGATGGCATATTGATTCATTCGCCCCATGGGCCAGCCTAATAACTATACGATGAAGTTCAATGTGCTTGAGCAGCAGTATTCTGTTGTTGGTCTATATCTCGTATTTTCACATTTTTTAAGATGAGTGACATATTTCAATGAGTTCATATTTCATAACGACTTCTGTGATCAATGATGCATATATTGAATTGTCATTTTTCATCCCAACTCATTGATAAACAACAGTTGAGAGTTAGAAGTCAGTGCCAAAACATCACTCACTCATGTTGGAAGTCAAATAATTTCCATAGCACATATACGGTGACAGTTATCAGATGTTATAGATCTCACATGTGCACTGCGGGCCAGATCAGATTAGCAGCTCCTTTTGCAAAGTGGTGTTACCAACTTACGTTTTGCCATCTAATTTGATTTCTGGCTATTTACGATTCCAGAAAGCCACTAAAGTGGGGAAATAAATTAAAGTAAACAAGGCCAATGATATCTTGCTCTCAGACTTTCAGTATTTTAGACACATTCAGAAACTGGATTTAGCCATCTTGCAAAGAGTGCAAAGCTTTCCGCAAGTTGCAAATGGTAGCTATAATGAATGCTTCCCTTTTCATTTACAAAGATTGTAAAATAGATCTCTATTAATAATAATATACAATATAATAATTCTTGCATTTGATATAGCGCTTTTCACGTCTTCTCGACGTCTCAAAGCACTTCACAGAATAGACTGTAAAGTGAATTGACCGTAATTTTGTGGGCAAAACGCGGCAGCCAATTGCGCACAGCAGTGTCCCACAAACAGTCGTGGATTGAGTGACCAATTTATTATTGTTTTTGTTTTAGAGGAATAATTATTAGGCGTGTGAAGTAAGGAAACTTGCCCAAGGTTTCGCCCTGACTGGAATTGAACCCAGGTGTCTCGCACTTAAAGTAAGTCCACCATTGTCCTGGCAACCAGGACTGTCTTGGTACAAGAATCCTCTGCAACAGGATGCCTGGATGTAGGATCCCCAGGTAAGACAGCTATAGACTCTATGAGTAAAATTACAATTTAAAAGGCAAGGTTCCAGTTTGCAGTCGCTTCCAGGCTAAACACATCAATCAGCAACCACTTGGCCTTCTGTCAATCATAAGGGTGGCTCCATCTACATCCGTCATTACTATTTCAAATGAGAAAATAACTTTCTAACCAAAAAAAGAAACAAAGGGTTTGGTCTGAACAATGTGTGTGAGGGACCACTGCTGAATGCAGTGAAAAACCTGAAGCCAATTTTATTTAATCAAAATGTCCACTTTCTAGTCATGGCAGTCTTCAAAATAAATACCCGCAGAAAACAAATGAGCTATGCGCCCAATATGAAAAACATAGTTTCAAAGATGAGGCATTTACCTGAATGACATTAAGTTTAAACCAGTTTATTTGCAGTTCACTGTCTAAGTCAACGAACACCTAATTTGGTTACTCAATCCACGACTGTTTGCAGGACACTGCAGATGGGCAGACAAGTGGTAGATAAAGTTTAATGTGGAGAAATGCAAAGTGCATTTTGGGAGGAAGAATGAGAAGGGGCAATATAAGCTAGATAGTAGAATCTTAAAGGGGATGAAGGAACTGAGAGATTTGGGGGTTCATATAAATAAATCTTTGAAGGTGGCAGGACAGATAGATAAAGCTGTTAAAAAAAGCATACGGGATACTAGGCTTTATAAATAGGGGCATAGAATACAGAAGTCACGAAGTTATGATGAACCTTTATAAAACACTGGTTAGGCCTCAGCAAGAGACTGTGTTCAGTTCTGGACACCACACTTTAGGAAGGATGTCAAGGCATTGGAGATGGTGCAAAGGAGATTTACCAGGATGGTACCATGAATGAGGGACTGTAGTTATGAGGAGAGGCTAGAGAAGCTAGGGTTATTCTCCTTGGAGCAGAGAAGATTAAGAGGGGACTTAATAGAAGTTTTCAAATTTATGAGGGGATTCGATAGGAAGAGAAGGAGAAACTATTCCCACTGGCAGGTGGGTCGGTAACCCGAGGACATAGTTGTTAAAAGAAACAGGGGGCAGGTGAGGAGAAAATTTTTCACACAGCGAGTTGTTCGAATCTGGAATACATTGTCTGAAAGAGTGGTGGATGCCAATTCGAAAACAACTTTTAAGCAGAGTAGATAATTATTTGGATAGGGCAAGTTTCCAGGGCCATGGGGATAGAGGGGGGAAATGGGATTGATTTGGATAGCTCTTTTCAAAGAGCCGGCACAGACACAATGGGTCAAATAGCCTCCTTCTGTGCTGTGTAATTCTATGATTAATAAGTGCACTTAATTGCTATTTTTGGGGGAAATAAGGTCTGCAGAATAATTCAGTGTAGATAAACAGCAGCAATTATATCGATTTACATCATGATTTACTTCTGCATAGTTACAGAGATGATTGCACAATAATAATAATATTCCTTGCATTTGATATAGTGCCTTATCATGTCTTTGAGGCGACTCAAAGCGCTTCACAGAATATACTGTAAAGTGTATTGACTTATATTTTGTGGGCGAAAATAGCAGCCGATTGTGCACAGTAGTGTCCCACAAACAGCCGTGGATTGAGTGACCACATTTTTTTAAAAAGAATCCGCCAATCAACTAACAACTGGGTTCCAATTTACTGCTAGGTAAACAGAGGCAAGTGGAGTAAGGAAACTTGCCCAATGTTTCGCCCTGCCCGGGAATCAAACCCAGGTCTCTCCTTTGTAATACGAGTGCTCTGACCACTGAGCTACAAGACTCTAATGAATGACTCTGCATGTTTCTACGCAATTAGCCGAGTATTCGACATATAATAATAATAATAATAATCCTTGCATTTGATATAGCGCTTTTCACGTCGGGAGGACGTCCCAAAGCGCTTCACAGAATATACTGTAAAGTGAATTGACTGTATATTTGTTGGCGAACGCGGCAGCCAATTGCGCACAGCAATGTCCCACAAACAGTCGTAGATTGAAAATGACCAATTTATTATTGTTTTGGGTTTGGGAGGGATTATTATTAGGCGTGTGGAGTAAGGAAACTTGCCCAAGGTTTCGCCCTGCCTGGAATTGAACCCAGGTGTCTTGCTTGCAAAGCAAGTGCTCTAACCACTGAGCTACAGGACTCCACGAATATAGGACAGAAACCAATCACCATGCTTGAATTTCCAAACTGGGCAGTGTCATATCTGTAGCCACTTACACAGGGAATTATCGTTGTGTCTGAAATGTAATACATATTCTTTCATTGGAATGCTCTATGCTAACTGCCTACTTTCAGAGAGAATTAGGCGCAGGTTGGCAAGAGCCAAGGCTTGAGGGCCCCAGAGTGTGATTTGGTTTAACTGTCTGAAACTACAGTTTGCCATTGAGAGTATTGTCTGACATGTTTCCCACTGCTTGACCAGCTAGGACCAGCCTACCTGTTAGGGCTTTGGCTTTCAGGGTCAACAGAAGTTGAGTGCGAAGAAGTCCTGATCCCAGTGGTTTGTCTTCCACTCCGAGTCCTGCGATCAGCCTGGCGGGCTTGTCTGACATCAAGGATGCATTGCATTGTCAGCCAAGACTTGCGAGTTCAAAGTCCCAACATGTGGCTTGAACCCACAACCTTCTGAATCAGAGGAGAGAGTGCTTTCAACTGAGTCAGGCTGACACGAGATTCGGCTGTGATAAGTAATATTGATACTAATATTACATTTGTAAAATGGTGGCAAGTCTCATATTTACTTACCAGATCTTCTGCATACTATCCCTTCTCTATAATTCTGTGAACAGACTTTCCTCATCTAAGTTTGCAATTCTTTTTTTGTTACTCAACAGCTCCACCTGTTGCCATTATAAAGTTACTCCTTAGTTTGCAGGAAGACAAATTCTTAAGATTAGTTATGGCAATTTTTAAAATTCCCAAATCTCCAAATAACACTAACGCACTGAAAAGAATGACTAGGCAAGACTAGCACTAGACTGGTGAATACTCCTTCAATTTGGGTTTCATGTTGATACATTTCAGACACTGTAGAACAGTGGATACATTTCTCTGAAGAATTCCTATATCTTAACTCCACGAAAGAGATCATTGTAGATACTGTCAACATTCACACTTGCAGTCCCACATGGAGTGAAATCATGACTAGTACGGTCATTTTAAAGGCTGCAAAGTAAAAGGGGTGTATGTGAATGGGGCATAAGGAATGGGATCCAAACATGGTGAACAACATATGACAACCTGTGATTGAAAGTGTTTGCATTTACTTGGAAAGAGAGGAAGGTGGGTGGGGGGATATATATATGAATTATCAGAAAGAATGAAAATTTCAATTGCACAATAACGCCAACCAAATTTGTCATCACTTGTGTAATCCTCTATTTCCAAATATGTTCTTCAATGTCGAAAACCTTTTGCCAGTTACCAATTACATTTATTTAGCGCCTTTCATGTTGGGAGGATGTCTCAAAAATAATAACAATGCTGGATTACACCTTTTGCGTTGGGAAGTTATCCTATAGCACATTCAGTGCTGGGTGAGCACCCGAGCTGGGAGTGGGAGCAGAAGGGACTGGGATGAGGAAAGATGACTGAAAGGATGGAAGCTGGGGGTGGGTGGGTTGGGGTGAGAATCCAGAAAATTGAAGAGTAACCTGCAGTTTATGGGATAAGTAAATAAAAAATTGACATGATACATAGCTGAACATCTAATTTTTCAGGCCAGTTTTAATTTTGATGGCACGTGCAAACATGTACAGAAAAAAAGTAGAAAAGTACAAATGACTATTACACTAGATCATTTCTGTAAGATAAGAGTACCTGAATATAAAAAGCTGCATTTCTCGTACAATATGAAATCTTTATCAATGTAAGTAAGTCAGAGATTGAAGTATTAACTGTAGAGGAACCTGGGTTCCTCTTGTATTATTTCTCTAATGGGTAGACCTGACTGAATAATGTAGGCACAGCTCAGCATTAATGATACTTACTTAGTGGGTAACTAGCACATTTTTTTCTGTTTATACACCAGGTTTGAAATAAAAACCTTGAGATTAAAAATGATAAACTATGATGTAAATAAATATATATTAAGTAAAAAGTAAGCAGAGCAACAAGACTAAAATTGCACTAGTTTGAAAAATGTATATCAAAGGCTGAATAATGCAGCCCAAAGAAAAATTACTTTTTAAATGTGCTTCTAATTTTAATATTCAATTACTTCTTATCATTTATTTTTTAAAAGAAATTTGTTATGATATGCTAATGTAATGCATTATAATACCAATCATGATTTGTGAATCATTTGTAATCATATGACTTCATTCCAGCTGATCCATGCATCAGTGCAGGATGCAGGCATGCAGTCTAAAAATCCAAAGACTGAATTACTATGAGTTTACACAACAGCATAAAAATTATGCAATGCTTTGGAGGCTAAACAAAAACTGCTGCTTCGAACATCACAAAACAAAATCCAAAAGAACATAATTTACATAAATGACAAATAATAAGGATATTGCAGCAGAATGAACAAAGTTTCAATAATTTACACCAATAAAAAGTTACTGATGTAATTAACACCAAGTACAAGGTTTATTATAATTTTGTAAAACACTGTCATTTCTGAAAGATGTATTTTAAAAATTACATTAGTGCATTAGTCAGTTTGGCGCATTGCAAATGCTTGATAAGCACTCTAGGATGCTACCCCACATGAAGGGTGCTATATAAATGCAAATTGCTGTTGTCATGAATCCAGGAGCTCTTAAGGATTTGGCTCATTGGGAGGGTGCAGTTTCCGTGTGTTGAAGTAGCACACCACTTGCTGAGGCAATTCAGCTAATACACTTTGTGCAAGAGCTTCTTTGGTTGCCTGTTGAGACAGAGAGAGCAAAAATCAATTACCTTGATGCAGTAAGAAAACCAAATGAACCTACAACTTAGACAATTAACAACTCTATTTCTTAAATTTGTCCAAAAGCAATTACAACAACAACAACTTATAGTGCCCTTCATGTGGGGTAGCGGAGTCTGAACCCGAGTCAGGGGAGATATAGGGGGGAAGTGACCATAAGCACGATCAAATAGGAAGGTCTTTAGGGGGGGGATTTGAAAGTGGGGAAGGAGGGGGCAAGCCAGAGGGATTGAGGGAGAAAATTCCAGAGCTTTGGGGCATAGTGGCTGAAATTCAATTGCACTAAAAACAATTCACTGCATCTACACCAGTAATAAAAAAAACATTCAAGCCACGTCATCGAAATGGTTGGTACACCAGCTTGATAACAACAACAACTTGGATTTATATAGCGCCCTCCACGCCGGATGGCATCTCAGAGTGCTTAAAGTATGCTGCCACTTATTATATATTTTTAGATAACATATTTAACGTTTTAAATAAAGAGATAACACTTCCAAATCCTCCATTATGAAGATACAATGTTTATAAAAATGTAGTCACATGTTTCTGCTAAAACAACAACAAAATGACATTTGTAAAACCCCAGTGTACATCATATGTACTTGCAGCACCAAGTGATGTAGAACCAGACATGATTGATGTAAAACAATGAATGTGATACGCTGATCCTAAGCATATGATTTGGTACACCTTGTGCATTAATTATTTAGATAGTAATAAAGATTAGTACTTACTAAGAAGTGGCAAGAAGTTAAAATGGTCCTTGGCATGTTGAAACCAAGATAATTGCTAGGGAAGCTTTAGGTTGTGTGAGTGAGAGGGAAATCACTGAACATTGAAGGAGACATATTGATGAGTTATTTCCCTAATGTTTACTGGGATCGAAAATTCTCTCTCAAGTGGCAATCTCTGATTTTTGAGAAAACAAGTGATCTGTTCAATGGTCAGCCTGGTCTCCATATACATATACTGTAAAAATACATTTGGAGTTCTTATACTGATATACATAATAATCCTGTCATTTTATTAATTCTTCAACATGTCGCCAAATTGTCTCAAAGCACTTTGCAGATTTAGTGCAAATTGTAATGACTGTGTATTCTGTAAGGCAAACGCAGCAGACAATTTGTGCACAGTAATGTCCTAGAAGTAGCCATGGGGGATTGTTGGCGAGGACACCAAAAGATACTCCTCTTTTTCAAAAGTGCCACGGGATCTTTAATATCCTTGTAAATAGGAAAACGGAGCCTCAGTTTAATGTCTCAGCTGAAGGACGGCATCTCTGACAATACAGTGCCAAGATCACAATCTCAATGTCTTAATACGCGGCTTAAACCCATGACCTTCTGCTTTAGGCTGATATGAGAGACATTCACCTACAAAATACAAAGTCACTACACTACACAGTATATCCTATGAAGCACTTTGAGACGTCTTCCCAAAGTGAAAAAAATGTAGGGATTATTATCATTTATGTTCCAGGATGTCACAAGCATTTCTGCTGTGATAATATCCAAGTATTGATACTTAATTTCACATCAACTCATTTTACATAAAAGAATGCTTCCTAAACATATCCTTTACTGCACTGATCATTCAGTTCAAAAACGCAGAGAGAAAACCAAGAGAATCATTACACAGAACACTACCCACAGTCAATTCAGCACAAATATAACATGCAGGGTAATGAGAAACCACATACTTTGATACTGTTAAACTGTTGCCTCAGAACAAGTGATTCAAGATTTCTACCAGAACATAATTGCCCTTCAGTGAAGCTTGAGTGTGTCTCAATAGCCCAGGAAATTAACCTGGAGGAAATTGGGAATATTAAAGCAAAATGCAGCATCAGAATTGTCAGCATCTTTCACTCAGAAACGTTATGACCTAAACCTACTGGGACTACATTCATCACAGTTTCTGGTTCATGAATTCCCTCTGCTAAGGATGAGAACAGATATGTACAATATGAATTGGGGAGATGTCCAATTGAGAACAAACAATTGACGAATAAAAATTGCTGAGCCTATAAAACAGGATACTAAACAAAAGCTTGAACATGAATCAGTTCATAAAGGATGTGAAAATCAAAGCTGTCTCAAAAGACAGAGAGAACCAAATCTGGCTCAAATAGTGCAGGAGCAAACTGGTGCATTATATTCCCAACAGTGATAGTTCAGTGATTTAATGTTCCCAATTTCTTTCAGAGATTCTTTTGTAACACTGAATTTCTCCTGGAGAAAGATGCAACATTTCCAACTTACCTTCTCCCACACCAAACCCCACTTTCACCAATAAAAACTACTAAACTAAATTATTATAAATCAAAAACATTTATTTTACAATACAGTGGGATTTGCCCTACAGTGCAGTACAAATGCATTTAGCCACTATATTACTCTATTCTTTATGACAATCTCATGTATATTACGCCATTCCTAATGTTATCCATGTACTGCTTATAAAGATTTAAATAAAACAAATTCCGTATCAATAATGAATAGGGCTGACAGGGTGTTACTGAGACAGTCTGCTGGTATTTCTACACTCTAAGGTTCACTCTCACACTTCAGTTGAATTACTGCCTCATAACTCAACATCAGTCACCTGCCACCCTGTATTTATCACTTAATTAAATCTATTTCCATGCGCTATTACGATCCAGACTTCATAACATCAGCAATGATCCAAAATAATTAAAGGGCTGATGTATGAAGGGAAGGTCTATCTGACTGCAAATGGAAAATGTTTCAGAAGCTACAGTCCATTTTGTTTTATGTAGAGCTTTCTTGCCATGTAAACAGCACTGAACAGGAAAATACAAAACAAGCAATTACAACAACAAGAAGCACTTATATAGCACCTTCCACACAGGGTAGCATCTCAGAGTGTTTAACAGTGGCCGAGCCGGGGTGTGGGGGTGGCCTTAATTACGGCGGTCGAAGAGGAAGGTTTTCAGGTGAGATAATTGTTTTTCTTTAAATTAATTGTTTATACTTTGACAATTCAGCCCAAAATGATAGATGAAAGTCATCTCTCCAACAGTTTTAAGAGTGGAGGTTAGCAGTTTTAGGAATAAAAGGCAATAGGCAGCAGAGTCCACAATGCAAGGTTGCTCAGAATTTAATTTTTCTGGGTAGAATACAGTGGTAACTACATCTGGTCCCTGACCAGGACGGCCTTGCTCCACCTCCGACATATTGCCCACCTCCAACCAGGCCTTCCCTCAGACGCAGCTGAAACACTTGTCCATGCATTCATCACCTCCCACTTTGAATTCACAAATACCCTCTTTGCTGGTCTCCCCAGCTCAATCATGCACAGAACCCAACTGATCCAAAACTCAGCCGCCCACATACTCACCCACACTAAACTCTGTACCCCTATCATTAGCCAGTTCTAGCCAAGATCCACTGCCTCCCTATTGCCGAATGGATCGATTTGAAGATCCTCACACTCCTTTTCAAAATCCCTTCATCCCATGGCACATCCCTACCTTTCTGACCTGCTTACCACCCAACCCACAGCCTCGGCTCGACTGGCCTAGCGTTTTGCATGTATCTCATGCCCTCCATTCCACCATTGGTGGCTGCATTTCAACCACTACATCCTAAAACCCTGGAACACTCTTCCTCTATCCCTCTGCCTTGACTCTCCGCCTTGCCCCTTCCTTCCTCAACTTCAAGTCACATCTGAAAACCTTCCTATTCGACCGTGCGTATGGTTGCCTCCCTTGTCGTGCTTCGCAACTGTCAAGCGCTCTGGGATGATACGCTGCGTGAGGGGCACTCTATAGAAATGCAGGTTGTTGTCATCGTTATAGTAATCTGTTGGATTATTCCACTTGTGTTGTGCCCACATTTTACTGCATTCACATAACTGCAAGGATTCATATACCTCTAAATTCACAGGAGTTTGTCATCTTTTGGTTATGAACTTTATGTCTCCATTTTTATGGGAGAAAGTGCCTACAACGACAATCTGGTGCTGGTTTTATATAACAAGAATGCTGTTGACAGCACTCCTGCTACACTGGGTTGACTAGTAATATAAGTTAATAGTCCAGCTAAGTGGACACAGTAATGTTTTCTCACTTGCAAACATTCTACATTTCATATAATAACCCTTATAGTACATATTATGTTGAAAGTCTCAAAGTGCTTGAGAATTTTTTGTGAAGTGGAAGGCCTGGGTATTTTGTAGCTGAAGGTAAAACCAATTTTAGGTCCCACAAGACCTAAAATTGCATGTCTACTTGGAGTCAAGATCCCACAAACAGCCATGAAGTGAATGACAAATTCTATCTGGGAGATTGTTAACCAAGACTGGGAGAAATTCGCTTTTCTTTTTGAATAGTGCCGTGAGATCTTTGACATCCACCAAAACACAACACAGGATCTCAGTTTAACTTCTCTTCTCACTTCTGACAACCAACAATCCCCCAGCACAGCACTGCAGTGTCAGTGTCAGCTATAAGTTCAATGTCCTGATGTGGGGCGTGAACCCGCAAACTTGTCTCTCATTGTATGTCTACTTGGAGTCAAAACTATCTGTTATTATCTGTATGATCGCTCAGTTTCATATATTCTCCAATAATACAGTAAATCCCCAGTTTACCAGACTCCGGGTGTCCAGAATTTGTATTAATTGGCCCGACCCGTTAAATGGAAACATTTAAAAAACTATGGCCCATGCGCATGTAGACTCACCAACCCTCAATGACTTTGACTCCGTTTGAATCCCACGAGCAGCTTATTCAGTATCTTCTGCTCGTGGGTTTCAAGCAATTACAATGTCGGTACCAGCATTTACCGGCAATTTTTGGCACTGAAAAAGGCCGGAGCTGAAAGAAGCCAGTAAATGTTGGTACGACATTGTAATTACACTTAGCAGGAAATCTTGGCTAGACCAGACATCCCTTCCATTGTCCAGCTAGCCAGGGTTTCAGTATAATTTTAAAAAAAACTTCCAATACAGAGGCAAGAGTGCTACCAACTCAGCCAAGCTGATATTATGTGTGATGCTCACAACCAAGGGCTGCCATTTGAGTGTCAAAATAAAACCTCAAGTGTCCAAGTACTTCAGGTTATATTAATCATCAGCAAAAAGGAGATAAAGGCCATGATATTCAGTAAGTACTGTTGGGAAACAGCCAGGCTGATCAATATCAAAGACCCCTCGGACGTGTGCATGATGAGGATGCTGCCCGGAACAAATGGCCCGGCATCAACTCTCAAGACTAACGTATAAAAATCAGCTACTTGACAAAAATAACTTGCATTTATGTAGCGCCCTTCATCTCAGAGAGCTTAACAGTGCCAGAGCTTGACACCGAATTGGGCAAAGAGGAAGTGGCTGCAAATGTGGTCAAAGAGAAAGGTCTTCAGATCGATCTGAAAACGGGGAAGGAGGGGGCACAGTTAAGGGATTGGGTTAGAGTTCCAGAGTTTGGTACTGGAGAGCTGGGGGCACTTGTTGCTCCACAGAGCAGTGTAAGTGACAATCTTCAAGTGAGCCAACAAATCAGAAAAATTTGAGAGAAGAAACAAATAACATTTGCTATGACCACAGCGGCAGACAGGCAGCTAAATTGACTCACTTTCCTTTCTCCATAGATGCTGCCTGACCTGCTGAATGTTCCGAGCGACTTCTGGTTTTTTTTCAGATTTCCAGCATCTGCAGTATGTTGCGTTTTCAGCTAAATTCAAACCTCTTTCTGCAAAAGTCACCCTACATTAACTACAGTAATAGTCTCTCCTCACATTCTACTGGAAAAGCAACATTAGCAACACATTAAGAAATGGGAAAGTACCAAAAGCTAACAACGTGTGACAATTCAACAGAGAAAACACTTAACATTATTAAAAAAAGTCACTCAGCTGATTCTTTATGAAAGCTAAAGCGATGACATGTTCTGTAAGTATTCCAAATATGCACCAAAATGCCAACGTTGGGCATTTGTTCTATCCAGTCCAATTGATAAGAATACAGATAGAGCAGTAAGTGTAATGCCAGCTTCCTCTATACCTCGTTCTATTATCTGATAGCAGCATGAAAAGAATAAAATAAAATACATATTTGTATACATGATTTATATATTTGTAGTTTTTCTTTACTCTGAAAGTATTTAATGAATTAACTTATTTAAGAAAGCTTTATGCTGTGATGGGAGGGCAGCATCGGAGGTATTTTGGAAGGATGAGATCAACACTGGATCTATATGTCGCCCTTCAAATAGAGTAGCATCTCAGAGCGCTGAACAATCGCGTAGTTTAGAGCTAGGGAGAAAGGGGTGGTGACAGTAGGCATGGTCGAAGAGAGCCAGAGAAGGCAAGGAAGGCGGAGGTTTTGAGTCAGGAAGGTTCAGGATGAAGTGGCTGAAAACATACCTACTGATGGTGGAGAGGAGTACAGAATGTACAGAACTTTGTTACATAGGTGTAGGAGTAAGGTATTACTCTTTTCTTAAGTATGCAGAATAAGCAGCTATTTGAAATGCACAGTGCCACAAGATTGATCCACTCAGTTTCATGTAATGATAAAACCCCTTTGTACATTTTTGAGGAGTTACACTATATAAAGCCTTCCTCCTTGGCTTCCTTTCCAGACTGGTTCCTCTCCTTAGTATCGATCAACATTTAGAGCTTATTTAATAATGAAAAACAAATAAGTAACTTAGGAAATAGAAGGTGGGTTGCCTTGTAAATACAAGGCAAAATTAGAAAATACAAGGTGGGATAAAACTAGATTTGTTAATTTTTTAGATTTTTTTTGATTCTGTGGTTGTTCTTGGTCATGTTTGTTCGACTACATGAAAAATTGTTTAAGCTGCTGAAAGAGCACCAAGCGGTGGGCATGCACCTTGTTTTTCATTATGTTACTTAAAAGTATTTACACCACACAAAGGAACTTGGGTATTGAGCTAACTGCAGACAGTGCACATTTCACGGGTTTGCCTTGTACCTTGTGCAAAGTGAGCAGTGAGCAGAAATGCCACATTAAAACATTGAATGCACCCAACAGAACCATAGAAATTTACAGCTATTCAGCCCATTGTGTTTGTGATGGGTCGTTGAAAAAGCGATTCATTCAGTCTTATTCACTTGTCTTTTTCCCATAACTTGCAGAATATTGCTCTTCAGGTATTCTAGCTCTCTCTTAAAAGGTAATATAGCTCCTGTATCAACCACCGCACCTGGCAAGGCATTCTATGTCCTAACAATTCTCTGTATGAAAGAAAATCTATTTATCTCCCGGGTTTGATCCCTCACTAACTACCTCGAACTGATACCCTCTTGTCATTATACCACATTCAAAAAAGATCAGAATGGCATTAGTTAAGAGTTAGTATCATGCTTTATCATGTAATAGTATTACAACAATAACTTGAATTTATATAGCACCCTTCACACAGGGCAGCATCCAGTACCGCATTAGACCTAGTAGTTTGGCTAGAACTGTTAGTTTTATTCCATTTTTCAATTTAAAAACCCTTTGGAAATCAATTTTAAATCCACCCTCAGCCATTAAAAAAAATCTGCAATTCAGTTGTAGATACTCGGGACTCACTTACCTACTGACCACAGCCTATTGTTGCCATTGTAGGTGTCTGCCTACAAATACACAGTCACTCCACTTCACCGTAAAAAAAGAAATCTTGTGAAGCATTTTTAGATCTCTTGACAGCATGATAAGGCACTCTATAATAATAATCCTTGCATTTGATATAACGCCTGAGTGACATCTCAAACGCTTCACAGAATATACTGTAAAGTGAATTGACTATGTATTTTGTGGTCGCAAACTCAAACAGTCATGGATCAAAATGACCAATTTATTATTACTTAAGATTTTTATTTTATATCAAGCGCAAGAAGGATTAGTATTAGCTAAGTAACTCTGTGCAAAGTTATTCATATAAGAGAGCACTACAAGAATACAGTTAAAGACATAATTCCTTCCCCCATGTTCAAATAGCCTACTGACATGCTTTGTAAGTTCAGGCATGGATTTAGTGAAGTCTTATTGGTTTCTTCTCTCAAGGGGGAGGGGAGGAGGGTATTGTTTTTAATTAAATCTTTTTATGAAAATGTTTAATGCCATTGGTGGAAACAAGTTTTTTTTTAAAAAAATCAGCATCTGGAGTCCTGTAACTTAATAGTTAAAGCACTCGCCTCACAAGTGAGAGGACCTGGGTTCGATTCCCAGCAAGGCAAAAGATTGGGCAAGTTTCCTTACTCCACATGCCTTTGTTTATCCAGCAGTAAGTAGGAACCCGGTTGTTAGTCGATTGGTCAGTCAATTACATTGCAGTACATTCTGTGAAGTGCTTCGAGATGTCTCGTAGACGAGATAAGGCGCTATAACAAATGCAAGGATTATTATTAAGAAGGAAACTTGTTTGGATGTAAATAATCTGGGGATCTTCCTATCCAATATATTGCCTCTACCCGACATTCAGAGAAGCCTTTCTCAAAGGCCAACCTTACACAAGCCCCTTTCCCTGCATGAACAGCTAGATTAACCCGTGGAGGTATGAAAACATCATCCTCAACAATTTGCACTTCATGCAATGCCTTTCATATAGGAGAACATCTCGGAGAGCTTTACAGAGAGGGGAGAGTGAGGTGGGAGCCAAAGCAGGGTAGGAGTGAGGTGGCAAGTTTCCACTGTACTTACATGATGAAACTTTCTAAAAGGCACAAACTGTACGATATCCCGGATGGCTATTTCCCCCGTGGGTGATCTTAGAACACAGTCGTCACCATCCAGGAATTCCATGGCACTAAAGTCAGCACCACCAACACCGACAATGATGATGGACATCGGCAGTTTAGCAGCATTGACTATGGCTTGTCGAGTATTATCTAAATCAGTGATCACTCCATCCGTGATGATCAGCAGGATAAAATATTGCTGGGGGAAAACAAAGGAAGCGGCTTCATGTTATGTCATCCGCCAATGCATTTTATATTATTAGATACACACTAAATGTACATAGTTGTTTTTGTTTTTACAATGAATGCCAAAGATACATGCTTGCACTATCAGTTTATAGACAACATATCAGTTCACAGAAGCAGATAACATTGAGCACCCGACTAGGAGACCGAAGAAGGCTTGAAAAGCTCAATCACACGAAAATATGCGATAACTATATTTTGAGAGACACAATGTAAGATGCACAGCATTGATTTGAATAATGAAGACCAAAAAACCACAAATGTAACTATCAGTTGGTGATACTGAGCATACTATAGGTCTAAGGTGCCCACAGTAGAACATACGAAGTGAGCAAGGGTGGAGGGGGTGGGGTAGACAATAACCTAATTTCACTGTCAGCAGTCAATAAAGAGCTTCTATGACGACTTGGAACACTTACAGAAGCTGTTGGCTGCTGCGCTGCTGCAGCTGCAAATCTGGCCACATGGTTTATAATGGGAGAGAAGTTTGTAGGCCCATATAGCTTGACTTGAGGCAAACAGTTGCGGTAGGCATCCACAATCCCTTGCACGCCTAATGAACATAGACTAGTCAAAACTTGTTAAAATCATTCATTACTAAAACCCAGATTAGTACAATTTCCCTGCAATCTTTGGCCTTGCAGGAACCACATTAGCTTCCTTCCTCCCTTCCAATAGAATTGTAGACTCTATACAGCAAATATAAAATCACAACAAGAACATTAAGTAAATGAGTACCAGGAGCACGATTCATTAAACTCCCAACAGTTGTCCCATCTGGATACTAATAGAACCTAATACTTTTTATCTCAAAACCTTGGGAGAATTCGGAACTCATTCCTTTTATTTATGTAAACACTCCCCGTAAACTTACAGAACATCAGAACTGAAGTTATATTATGGTTGATTTTCTACTTGTGTCTTGATATTATTTAGTTATAGTTTTGTAAACAGAAAAAAACTTCATTCCTTTTGGTCAAGAACATACATTCCCAGGCTCCCTAACACCCGTGGAAACTAGAGGTGTTGAATACACAGCCAGTCTATATTGTACTCGTCATTCTGTTTTTGCAGCAATGCTTGATAACAGTGGTTATCTCTTATATAAGATTCTTTTAGAACATCTGAGTTTTCAGGAGCCACTTTATTCTCGCTGATCCTGTTAGTATGACAATATTTGGGAGGCAGATAGAGGCTGGAACAGCTTTGTTTTCCTCTAGCACCCTTATAACCATTGCTTACTGCACCAAGCAACTCAACGTTTCTCTACGAGCAGAGACAACCTCCCTCATTCATTGTCAGCAGCCACAATGAGCAAGTGGGAGGACACCAGCAGATGGCAGGAGATTAGCCTTCTACAGCCCCGTGTTAGCTATGCTGGAATGCATCACAGCATTCTTACACGAACAACAACAAATCCAAGGCAATCGTCGCTAATGATTTGAGAAAACAATTACATGCACATGAAGATGTGTGTGTGTGATTGGTCACTCTCACGATGACCATGGCTGTATTTTCTTTCCCATGTGAACAACACAGGAACTCGCATACTAGACTTTCATACTACACTATACACAGACTATGTCACTGGAAGCTCCCTATCTACCCTACCAGAGGGCACCTTGCATACCAGGCTGTGTATGGCCATGACCCGGGCCAATAGAAAAGTGTGGGCGCACTGTTCCCATGGAATCCGCTATAAATGCCCCTCCACTACAAACACGCTAAAACCACCACCTCCGCTACAAACCTGTATGCATAGTGTGCTAGGTCCCGGGCCTCTCCCGCTGTTTGCTCAAAGCTGCCACTGTGGGTGGAACGGGGAGTGTTGGGAACGCGGAAGCGGCGCAAGCAGGAAATTGTCTTCACTTAGTTCCCGGCCTAAACTGAGCTCTTGTGACCAATTTATGGAAAGTACTGTACTAATCAAATTTTAGTATTTTAAACATAACTACATAGAAATATATGCGTATAGTTTTAATCTGAGTTATTTCACAAGATGAGTCTCTCAATAGCAAAAATCAACCCTCCGCAATTTCCATCAAATTTGGGGGAAAATATTTCCACTTTTCTATTGGCCCAGGCCATGACTCTTCCCACTTGCTGAATGGTGCTACCAACAGTGAGCGGAATCAAACGACAGTATTGAACTGGTAAAAAAAAATCCCAGGTGCATTTCCTGTTACTGTTTAACAGTTTGACTCCTGGAATTTCTCCCACTTGGTTTCTCAAATGTGTTATCAGAAAACAAAACAAGAATTTTGTACCTGCACAGAATGGATTGGCAGGATTGAAGTTAAGTGCAAACTCGTGTGATACCTAAGGAGAATAAGAACACTGCAATTCATGACTTGCGTACAGAACATAAAATCCTAAATCATACTGATGATATAAAATACCAAATCATATAAGTGATCCAGGTTTACCTGCCAGTTCGGAGGAATCTGTGCCCCAAATCCAAACGCTGGGAACAATTTGTCTCTAAAATGAAACAATCAGATTCAGAAAGCTACCAGTTACAAAACAGGTTGAGAGCATGAACCAGAGCCAGCAATGATATACAACTAGCATTTCCACAGGTGTGGCGACTCCATTGTGAGACATTATGCACCAAAAGTGTGCAGAGGGAATTATGAATGTCCTTACAATTTGAAAGGACTGTCTATTTATTATTAAATCATATTAATTCATGTTAAATACATAAATTAGGGGTACCTTTGATTACTTCTATACATGGAGTTTGCACATGACCAATATTAAATATAAATCTCACAAGAGGTATTCAGCACATTTCACTTCTGAACCTGACATATCAATATTTACATTTATGCATATATAATATATATACTATATAGTACACAATACATTTGGAGTCCTGTAGTTCAGTGGTTAGACCACTCGCTTTGCAAGCGAGAGACCTGAGTTCAATTCCAGGCAGGGCAAAACCTTGGGCAAGTTTCCTTACTCCACACGCCTAATAATAATCCCTCCAAAACCAAAAACAATAATAAATTTGTCATTTTCAATCTACGACTGTTTGTGAGACATTCCTGTGTGCAATTGACTGCCGCGTTCGCCCACAAATATAGTCAATTCACTTTACAGTGTGTTCTGTGAAGCGCTTTGGGACGTCCTCCCGACTTGAAAAGCGCTATATCAAATGCAAGGATTATTATTATTATTATTACATTTTATTTCAAGAATGGAATTAGGTGTTGATGACTTATTATTCAGCATGACATCATTTGAGCAAAAAATAAGGCTCCTTAATTTTAGCAGTTTGAATATACCATATCTTCACAGATAGGCCCACCATCAATCCATAGTTCTATTATGAATCTTACATGTTCAGGAATGCCAGGGACACCATAAAATTTCATCATAACCTTTAAATTCTTATCAATGTCCAGAGAGTCATAAGATTCCCTCCCCACTCCGAAAAAATGCCAGACATTGAACAAAGAAAATAAATAGGCTGGAGTGCATTACGTATCATAGTCTTGAATGATCATTCCAACAGACCAGATTGCCATCAGATATTCATTAAATCCATTAGGACTGATATGATGTAGGGAGTCAGGTGAACGAGGGTCCCCATTTGAGCCTGTAAAATCGATCCCGACCTGTAATTAAGAGAAGGAAATATTTACTGGTGGCAAGTTCTATAAAATGGTTGAAACTTGGGACTATAAAACCTAGGAGGACAATACCAAGGATTCATTGCCTGAATGATTCAAATAGATATTGGATTGCATTTTAGTGGGCAAAAGGCTTTTTTTTTTGCTGGTGACATATTAATTTCAGAAATCACTCACTTGTGCCGAGCTCCAGAAACAATGAATATTATTTTTCATTTACTGGCTGATGAGAAGCTGAGCTGTGATAGTTTGGTTCTTATACCCAATGCTCCCAACTCAATGAACTGTTCAACCCACAAGTGCACTAAAGCCAAGCACCACTGCTACTGTGATTTAGCAGCTTTGAAACCTGACATCAAGGGTAACTGGAGTGCAATTTGGCATGCAGGGTTAAGAGCAGCCAAAGGGAAGAATTCCTGTCCCTAATGACCAGTCTGCCCCTCCAAATCCTGCCGACAAGCCAGGCTGGCACCAGCAGTGCCCTGGAGTACAGCAGAACTACTTGGCTCAGGAACCAGCCTATCAAAACCGCCACAGAGGGTTGATTTGATTCCATCGTTTCAATACAAAAAGCATGTCATCTGGAGCCAGTTCAGTCACAAGGAAATCCCGCTTACCTCCCACTCAAGGACATCCTTCTTAACTCCCCCCCCCACCAAGAGGAATAGTCATCCACACCAATTGCTCGAAGACGACAAGATTACTCAGTCACAACGAAGCTTGGGAGCAGTTAGTCTCCTTCTGCTTTTTGATTGGGTAACTGTAATATACATGTTTTGAGAAAATAAAATCTAAAACACAAATCATATGGATCTATACAAGTTTAACACCGTTATTTCCTTTGCTACTGTTAAAGTGAGCTTTCCATTTGGACATCTGTGAACCGCTCAATGCATTTTTCCATTTTGGGCATTGTTTCCAAAGAGAGCAACACAAAAATGGAATGAGAACAAAAGCATAAAAAGCAGAAAACAAAGGGATGAACAGTTAGGAAAATGAAGCAATGAAGAATCCACTTCCCGTGCAGGTATTTATTAACTTTAACGAGAAATTAAACATTTTACAATATGCAGCCTAGCTTTTCTATCATTGTGAATACCAAAACTGCAATTTGCTACATGCAATATGTCTAAGCAATTCACTCACAATGAAGTTCATCTGACATCCACCCATAATGTAGTCCAGAAATGAGTATTCCTTCACAACCTGCAAGTTAAATATCAGCAACGTTTTAGATCTGTATAAGTTATGTGTTACAGCTTGTATCACTAGAATACATTCTAGAATACATTACCTAAAATGTTGATCATGTGAAAGGTAAAACATATCATTTGGTTATTAATATTTATTCACCTCATCCAAAAAAGATATTGTAAGTGATTTTAATTTAAACAAGGAAAGAGGTGTCCTGTACATGGGTGCAATGGTTAATATCTAGTGCAATGGCAAACTAAGTTTCAAAAAGGACTATACAGTTGGATAGATCTCAAGAAAATAGGATGTTCTGACAAAAAGGTGGATATTCACCCTTTTTATAATGGATAAATACATTGCACAGTTTGTTTAAGATGTAGCAATGCTTAAGATGCTTCTTAAAATCTCCATCCGTGAGGCACTGTTGAATGAAGAACATTATCTGAGTATAGTTCTCATTGTGTCTTTCCCACGTCTGTTCTTTCTTTCCCTTAATTGTCTCATCTGACAGAGTGGATAGTTCTGCTCCCAGGTCTCAGCCATTTCAGAATTAGCCGCTTGGAGGGACCACCGTCCCACACTCTGAACGTGCCTTCTCATGGTGGTGGGCAAGTGCGTGGCCTTGGTTGCTGCTTCCTCTATAACGTGGAGGGATCACAGACGGAGACCCAGAACTCCACAGTATTGGCATAAATGTAGATAAACCCAGATTAGGCTTATCAGCTTCACATCCAATTCAGTTAAAGAGATTGTAGTTGCTTAACACACCGAGGATACGGAGAATAATTTTAAAAGCCTGACAAGTGACTGTTTAAAAAAAAGTAATTCTATTATGATAATATTAATAATAAAAATTAATAATTTCAGGAAGTAGCCAATATAGATGAGAAAAACGCCAAACCCTGAGCTATATTAAGTTTCAGGCATTAAGTGACAGAACAGACTTACTACATTTTTCTTCCTAATGTTACAACACCCACAAATTCACAATGTGGCACTGGTTAGAATCATAGAATTATAGAATTATATAACACAGAAGGAGGCCATTCGGACTATCTTGTCTGCGCCAGCATAAAAGATCTATAAAAATCAATCCCAATCTCCCCACATTGCATTTCTCCACATTAAACTTCATCTGCTCCGTATCTGCCCATTTTACCAGTCAGATTCAAAAGTGGTTTCAAAAGAATATTGGCAACACCCTCTGCCTTCCCAAATCCACTTATTCGGATTGTTTTTCTTTGGAAATGATATGAGCTCAGAAATCAGGCAAATACCTGGAAATCAATCCAACCAAACATTCATAATTCATTGCAACCAACTGTACTACAAAAGGAAACACCATGGACACAATCAAAACAACACCAAAGTACAATTCTACACAGTGCAAGGCTCTCAAAACCAGGTACACATACTTTAATGTCTAAAAGCTTTAAACAAAGCTCTAATCAAAATGTTCACTGTAAAGTGGCCAAAATAATAACGTTGCTAAAAATATAAAAGGTCACTCATTGTGCCAAGTGTATTTGGGTGGAGAGGAATACAAAATACAATACAACCCTCTCACAGAGCTTTGTTTACTATGTCTTCATCTAATGTTTTGAGGGGGAGGGAAAGAGAGGAAAGGTCAGTGAAGCAAAACACTAGATGAGTGTGTTAACCAAATTATCTGAGGTCAGACATAGGGCAATATACATTAATGAATTTTGTAAACATGACTAAGCTGAAAAAGAAACTCTCCGATAGTATGTACCTGACACAGTTTGAAACTCACTATCCCCGAATTTTTGTAACTTCTCTTTTTCTGTTTCTTCTTTGGATTAATGCACTCAAACTCCGCCTGCAAAAAAAAATAGCACCATAAGAAATGGCACTGCACAATACAGTACAACAAGACTACGGAATTACAGCACACAATTCAGTGTGAAAACAGAGGGTATACTGTAAGGAAACAGATGGAATGCTATTAACACTGAATAATCCAGCAATGCTTTTCCATGAAGATTATTTTTATTCCTGGCAATATTCCTGCTATAGATTGTTGAGTTTTTCAAAGCTCTCTTTGATAGCAATTTCAAATCATGGCCAAATTATCAGTAGGGGGTGGAGCAAGTGGAGTCCTGTAGCTTAGTGGTTAGAGCACTCGCCTCACAAGTGAGAGTACCTGGGTTCAATTCCTGGCAGGGCGAAACGTTGGGCAAGTTTCCTTACTCCACCCACCTCTGATCACCCAGCAGTAAGTAGGAACCTGGTTGCTAGTGGACTGGCAGATCGCTTTACCGGGGCTAATAATAATAATAATCCTTGCATTTGATATAGCGCTTTTCACTTCGGGAGGACATCCCGAAGCGCTTCACAGAACACATTGTAAAGTGAATTGACTGTATATTTGTGGGCGAACGCGGCAGCCAATTGCGCACAGCAGTGTCCCGCAAATGGTCAAGTTTGTTCCTACATGTTAAGTTTTCAAATCATGGCGTTGTGTGGGAGTGTTTGTGTGTGAGTGGAGGAGTGGGCGGGGGGGGGGGGTGGAGAGAAAGAACGAAGTGCAAAGAGGAAATCTACAGCACAGTAAACAGAGGAAAGGATAAAAATCCCACAAACTTACTGGTGAACTCTGCGTTGCTTCTTGCAGCCTCTCCATGTTTGTTTCAAATGTACCTATTAGATCATGCGACCCATCATTGTCATAATCATAGCACGTTACCTGAAAGAAAGATTCATTTAGATCAAAGCCAACAAGAGCCAGTTAAACATTTCTGTTCACAATCAACAATCCTGGGTTTAGTTGCAACACAATTTGTCACACATATTTGCACTAAGATACAAATGATTTATATTGTACAATTGCATAACCTGTCAGCGATCACCAGACCCAAAATTAACCAATTAACCCATAAGAGGATAACAGTGATCATGGAAGATATGTAGCTTCGTAGTTTCAGAGGAGAAGGGAAGAAATAGAGGAAAATATTTTTTTTTTAAAAAAGCAAATGTCAGGTATGTCATTAAAGGGTGCAATTCATGAGGAGGATACTCAGTAGAATGCATTTAAATTCTATTATATGGAATTTCTACAAAAAACTATTCTCAAGAGAAATAGGGATTTCTACAAACAACTATTCTCACATCCAGTGTCTCTACTCGTGTTCTGAAATTGGTGAACTGTAGATTGTTTTGACAAAAAAAATCTATAGCATGTCAGAAACTCAGATGTAATCTGTTCCTAATTGCAGACGTTATATATTCTCAAAAATGTAATAATAACTACGAGTATTTAAAATTAAAATCCACTAGCTGCTGCTTCTTAATGTATTGGCATCATCAGATAATCTGTGCTAATGACAGTGTGTGGGGCATCTTGACAGTTTCCCAAAATTTCACTCCAAAATAAGGTCAATTTTCAAATAGACACCTAGAAACCATAGCAGGATACAACCAAAATGATAGTGAAAATGCTAATTTCATCACATGCAATGGCACCTTTAATCTCATGTTTGTTTAGGGTGAAACATGCCTTTATATCACAAAGAGTAATTCCAGTATCATATTAAAATGAGGTGTAGTGCTTTGTATTCTCTGGCTGTTCCGTTAACATTCTATGTATTCAGGATCTTATTTTATTTCCAAATGTGAATCAATAATTTCCCTAAAATTATTATAATACAGTAATATATTTTGATTATGATTGGGTGACATTTCTCTAGGGAACCAAGTAATAAAGACAGAGATTAGTAAAATGTGCCGAAAGTGTATTTTCCATAAGTGAACAACGATGAAAAAAGAATACCTTAATAGGCTTCTGCATGTCACTATTGCACAGGGACTGGAGTGGAATTTTAAATGGTCTCCAAGTGGGGTTTAAATTCTTTTTAATAACCTGAAAATGGTAAAAGAAAATTAATAGCGATTGAAATGTCTCAAGTAATAGCTCGTGTTTCCATTTCCATTATAACTGTAATAGTCCCAGTCCAGTTCACTCACTGAGCAAGCAGGTATGAATTGGAAAAAACAAAAAATACAATTTTCATTCTAGGATTAGATAGATTCTTGAAAGGGAAACATTTGCAGAGGTATGGGGAAAGAGAGGAGGAGTGGGACTGATTGGGTAGCTCTTCCAAAGAGCTGGCACAGGCACAATGGGCCGAATGGCCTCTTTCTGTGCTGTAATATGCTATGGTTCTATGATATAAGCAGATCAGCAACAGTTTAATGCAAAAGCTACGTTAGATGACAATTGGGAATACTGTCACTGGGCTATTTCCACTGATTCACTAGAGATTGAATAGCCAGTTTTCCAGCACTTATTTTCAAAATCTCCCAATCGCACAATTTGAATTACTCTTGAACAGCCATCACTGTATCTATTAATATGAGTGGAAACAGCCTGCGCTGCAGTGTAACTAGCTCTTAGTATTAAACAATTAACATTTTAAACTAGATTACCCTTCCATTAAAATAGCTAGATTCCAGATATTAGAACCATTTACATAAGGCAACAAGTTAGTTGAACAAATCCAACCGATGGAACATGCTCACAAGCTTGTTGGATCGCGATGCCATCTCCCTGTTTGGGTGGGGGTTAAGGATCATGTAATATTATTGGTGGGGGGGGGAATTCTGGTGTCCTGGCCTAAAGTATTTCACAGCAGTTTGTCAATCGCTTCGAGGCTGTTTGCAGGATTTTGCTATGGCATGCAGGAGGCTGCTGCATTGGCCTGATGTTACAAGTTACAGTGTACTGGGAAAGAGCAGGGAATCAGGATTCAGATGGATGGCTTATTGGAGAAACAAAAAACATCAAATAAATAAGCCAAATGATCTCCTATTGTGTTGGACAAGTCAATGGTTCTGTTTAAAAACAAGACTATGTCCTTCACCATTGTTACATAAGATATCAACACTACAAAGCATAGATATTATTATTGCAGCTACTGTGAAATTTCAGTTGACATCAACCCTTAGAATAAATCTCTCACCTCTGTTCGATGTACCATCTGCCACTTCCCATCCTCAGTCTGTTTGCAGAATTCCAAATAAGGATCTGATTTTCCCCAAAAATCCTAAGTCATCATCAGAATAACAAAAGAGAAATACTGCACATTATTTGTCAGAGATTGAAAGAGTAATGCATTACTGAATAAAATAATTATTCCATTTCAGTAAACTTGATAAATTATAATTCAATAAACACTACCTTTTTATCCAACTTCCGTGCTTGGACTTCAAAGTTTACCACCCGGTTATCGTTTACTTCTTCTGCAAATATCTAGCATATCAAGGAAACAAAAAGGGAAACAGTTTAAAATCTTTCAGGCTCACTGGACTAGGAATACCTACAGTTGAGAAAGAAGATTAGACAACAGTTCCCAGACCTCAGATAATATTGCACAGAGGCCTGGGTTGCTTAAGGACTTGCCTCCAGATTCAGTCTCCCTTCTTCTGCAGAGATACCATAATTCTGCAACTCCTCAAAGTAGAACAGCTGAGATTATCAGAGAAAGAGACAGATAGAGAAAAAGAGCTTTTGTTCCAACTCTTTATGGAATTATTTGTTGGATCTCAATTCTGTTTATCAACATTATGGTATTCATAAAAGTAGATTTAAGACACCTTTCTTACGAAGATCGGCACCTTAAAATATAACTGTATCATAAGCCTTTTAACGACTAAATATTGTGCACTTTGCTGAAGAGCTCAGTCTGTGGCTCAACTTCCTTACTAGTCCGGGTAACTAAACCAGTTTTGATTCGTTTTGCAGATCTTTTTGTTGCTGCATGTCCTTGTTTAATTTACCTCTGAGTGTGTTTATTTGCATTCGCCCACAAACACTATGTTTTACAGAAAAAACTGTAAAGAGCTTTAAGAATTTGACAACATAAGGCATGCCGTATATTAAATGCAAAAATTATTATTTTTTTACTATCTCTCTTGACCACAGCCAATCACCACAACCAAATAAGAGTTAGGTCTATACCGTGATTGTTCCTTTTCCTGCAGGTCTCCCGTTTCTTAGCATAAGAGGTCTGGTCAGTTTCTTGCTGGATACAATCTGCCAAAAAAACCTTCTCATAATCAGCTTGGACAGAATGATTCCTCACAGGAACCAACCCACTATTCAACATTGTTAAAGGCCTCATCATCCTCAAACACAAATTCTAAATTAACACATCGAAGAATCAGAAATCCCTCATTTCATAATTCAGAAGTTTTTTTTAAAATGAATGATCTCACAGCAGATAGCTCCAAACAGTACAGCATAGCTTTCTGGAAGAGAGCAGCACTACTTGGGTGATACTATGAATTAATATGGTCTCTGAATCAGCAGCCAGGNAAAAACAGTGTTCTGAGCATGCCAGCAACAGCCAAGTTGGATTCTGGCTTTCGCTTTGTCCATAACTCTGAATAAGAAGGTTATGGGTTCAAGCCCCACACAGAGTCTTTCAGCTCAAATGCTAGACTATTGAAGAAGCAGCCCCCGAACATTGGTAGAAGTGTAGTCCGCGTTCAATCAGCAATGTGTTTAAATTTTTTTTTTATTAAAGTAAAGTATTTTTTGGCCGACCAAAGGTTGGTTGGCAAAGGTAGCCTAGACTGAAATTCCAGTTCAGTGCTGGAGAAGTGTTGCAGTATTGAAAGTGATGTCTTTCGGATTACATATTAAACTGAGATCCCGTCAGCCTGTTCAGATGGATATAAAGATCCCATGGTACTATTCAGACAGAGAAGGAAGTTTCCCCCGGTGTCCTGGCCAACCTTCATCCAGAGAAGATCATGGCAGTTTGTGGGACATTGCAGTACGCAAATTAGCTGCACTTTGTAATGGGTTTTGAGATGTCTCAACAACATGATAAGGTCCCGAATAAAACGCAAGCAATATTATCATTACCATGTGCAGTTGCTGCCAGAGCACAGAACAGCGTGGGAATCAGTCAAGGAGTGGAAAAGAATTTAAAAAGAAAAATATTTAAAACATCACAAGGCAAATGATTAACTAGGATCTCTGACCCAGTTCAAATTTTAAAATGGCAGCTTTTCAACTCAACAGGAAACCTGCTCTTTGAAAATCATGAAACCTCCAGAAACCCCATCGAAAACACTTACAAATACAGCACAAATACAGAATGCAGAACAAGATAAAAGTGTTTTTAAATCACAGAATCATCCTCAACATACAAGTTGCTGCAGTACAAAAATAATGGGATGGCAGGGGAGTGGTAAACATTTTTTGATTTGACTCAAGGATGAAAATTGTTTCACGCCATATGAATGGATCAGATTATTTTGTGGTATAAGACAGAAAAATCAAAGAGAATGTTTGTGCTCACCTGTCCCAGAGTGCATTCAAATTCTCCCAGGAAGTCGTCATCGCCCAAATCAAATGTTTCATTGTCAATATCGTAAACTCCAAACTTCAATTTCTGAACCTGTTCAAAATAGTAATCTAACAGGAACTTCTTGGAGAACTTCGGATCCAGGCAGTTTTTAACCATTTCTGTGCGGCCAATCTAGAAATCAGACAATGTATGAACTGGTTGTAAAATGCACAATGTAAGACACTGATCGTATAAATGCAATAAATTAATAAATAAATATAAATATTTGTTTAATATAATTTGCTGTTGTTGATCAGAGTGGGCAGAGCCAAACAGACCCAGAACATACAGCACCAAGACTATGAAGAGTTACTTCATCTTAGGTGGCCGCTACAATTTGCCATAGTTATGGAATGGAAACATTGTGAACATTAGGTGAAAATATGCTGTTATATCGCCACAATTATATGGGAAGAATTGTTGAATTTGATCTGTTAATACATCACTACTTAGCCACTTGGGTTCAAGACATAGTCAATTTCAAGTGAAACTCATGAATTCGCCTATTGAGTTGAGGGAAAATCGGAGGGAGTACATAGGAATAGGAGGAGGCCATTCAGCCCTTCAAGCCTGTTGCACCATTTAATTGGATCATGGCTGATCTGTACATCAACTAAACCTTTCAGTTGAGGTACAGTAAAGAACACTAATAAAATAAACTGCCCTTCATTTGACAATAACTTGCAATTCTCAAACAAGTGCCATGAGAATGGCTGGTGTCAGAAAAATTCATCATCAGTCTTGAGAGAAGATGACTCAGAGGGGACATAACATTTTAAATAAGATTGAAAAAGTAAAACCAGATCAATACATTAGGATGCACCAAGACAGTCAAACAAAAGGACATGGGTTTATAGTTGCAAAAAGCAATTTCAAGACAAATACTAGTAAGTTTTTAAACAAAAGGCAAAATGCAGCAGATGCTAGAAATTTAAAATAGAAACAGAAGTTGCTGGGAACACGCAGCAGGTCAGGCAGCATCTATGGAGAGGAAAAATGAGTTAACTCAGTTCTGACGAATGGTCATCGACCTGAAACATTAACTAGGTTTCCTCTCTCCACCTGACCTGCTGCATATTCCCAATGACTTCTGTTTTTATACTAGGAAGTTTTTCTTTACTCAGAGATTAATTAATGACTATAATAACTTGCTCAGAAAGCTGGTTGAGGCCAGGATATTTAAAAAGCAGCTCAATGCTGTGATGGGAGACCGGTAGGGCGGGTATTCTGGAGGGATGAGATCAGACGGGCAGAGCAACTTTCTTTAGCCAAAACGTTTTAGCATGATCTTGTGAAATCACGTTGGTGCAACAGGAAGTTACAACTAAGTTAGGTCAGTATTTCTAAGATCAAGAAGACCATAGATTTTAACATGGAAAGCAAAGTAAAAGCATAATACTGTGAGGGGAAAATGTTTAATCAAATGAGATGAATATTCTTACCAATCCAATAAACCCATACTACAGTATTAACCATCTTGTCATATAATGTGGGCTAGTAATCGGCAGCTAAAACCTGGTGAAATCCCATTGTTACCCAGTTAATAAAGCACCACAATATTAAAGAACTGTTGCCACTATAAATGCTCATGTATTTGTACACTTAAGTAGGTGCCTTCTGTACGAGAAGTTAGAAGATATTTCTTACCTCTACCCATTGATTCCCACCAGTGTTCAGGAGGAGCGAACAGAGTGGATCAGACTTGGAAAAAACATCCTTATCCAGCAAATTATCGCAGGAGATACTCAGTTCCACCTTACTCACACAATCTGCCATCTGATAGCCTGACAATTACACAATAAGAAAAACAAATTGAAATAGGTACCAATCTGATTTGGAATGAATTTTTTTTAAAAAATTGAACTCCCCCTGAAGCCAGGAGCCTTGTTACATCATTCTTTGAGATGTCCTATTCACTTGCACCTTTCACTTTTCATTTCTGCACAACACTACATTAGATTTCTCTGTGTTCGATATGCTTGAGATCCCTCCCCCCAAATCAAAAGCATCTAGGTGTAATCTGCACCTTGCAAGCCCAACCTAAAGATAATTATTCAGAACCTTAGAACACCTTTAATGAATATTATTATATATTATTTTTGTTTTAATATTGCTTTATTCCACCAGTTTCACTTTTATGTGCACTAGAGCATTAAAGCACTCTGGAATGCTACCCAGCATGAGGGGTGCTATATAAATGCAAGTTGTTGTTGTTGAGTACTGCATTCAGTTTTCATATCCTCACTTCAGAAAGGAAACCTTGGACATAATGCAGAGAAGAATGAGGAGTATAGTTATGAAGAAAGATTGGAGAAGTCATATCGCTTTTCAATGGAGCAGAGAACATTGAAAGAGGTCCTGATAGAAATGTACAAATTTATAAGGGGTTTTGACAGGAGAAATAAGAGCAAGCTATTGCCACATGTAGGGGGTCAGTGACTAGAGGACAAGGATAATAAAGTAGTCACAAGAAGAGTGAAAGGAGAGCTTAGTTTTTTTTCACAAAGAGAATTGTTGGGATATGGAAGGACCTGCCAAGTAAATGGAAGAGATGGAGTCCATTGAGCTCTATCCTTGGTCTTTTGTTCTTCACAATCTGTTTGCTCCTGCTCAGCGATGTCATCCGCATACATGGGGTTAACTTCCACATGTATGCGCTTTAAGACGTGAAAGGTGCTATATCAAATGCAAGAATTATTATTATCTATCTCTGTCTTTCTGCCTCCACCCTTAATTCCAGGACCCCAATTGACTGATTGCCTGTCGGATATCATGACCTGGATGAGAGTTATCTTTCTCCAGTTGAATGTCAACAAGAAGGCTCTGCTATTTGGCTCTGGTCAGCGGCTTCTTGCCTCAAGGGCTCACAGCTATAATCTGCGTGGATACACACTCTGCCTCATGGAGACAGTGCAGAACTTCAGTGTGTTGCTTGATTGTCAACTGGACTCCCCAACTCTTCCCTCCACAAGCTGCACACTATCCAGACTCTGCCCATTTCAGCTTAGGTGCCAAGTCAGTACGTTAAGTGCCTTGGGACATCCTCCCAACATGAAAGGTGCTTTATAAATGTAAATTTGTATTGTATTGTAATCCCACTATTTCAGGCCCTTTGCTGCTACCGCTCATAGCAATTGTGTAACAGATACCCAATCTTTAATTGGTATTTCATCTTTCATTAGTATTCTGGTCACCAATCACCAGTCCACAGGATAATGCTTATACCACGTTAATGCTTCCTGCACTCAGAAAGTGAAGTCAGCATTGGCCATATTTTAACGTGAGAAGTTGACTAATCAATGCCAGTTGAACTGGCAGCAAGGCACGGTTAAAGCAAAACTTCAAAGTTATAAAAGCAAATTCTGACCAAAATCAGAGAGAACGATGTGAAAATGCACTGAAAACTGCACACAATTTGAAGAAAATGTTTGGAAAGCAAAATTTTAATAAAAGTGCAAATCTTAATTTCACTGCAACTTTACGTGAAGAGAATTTAATGAATGTTTCTTTTTTGCCAATGACCCTTAGTTACCTCCATATGAGGGATATGTTGAACCCGTTACAGCTAGTTTGAGTGTCATGTATTATGTACATCGATAAGTTTTCTTTCATAAAATCTGGATCCATCATGTTCGAACAAACGTCTAGCCTGTCGTGGTTTTATGCACAGAAACCTGTTGAGAGCTGTAAGGACCAGTACTGTTTGCTCCAAGGAAACCTTTACTGGACTAATAAAGTTCTTAGTTGATTTTCCAATTTAACCAGCTGAACATAACCTGCCCTGGATTGCCTCCATCTAACAATTAAATACAGCTTTCATTTAATGCACATAATAACTAATTATGAATGTTAATGCCACTGAAATCCACTGCACGTTTGACTCTAACTATGATTTCATTCCCAAACTCCCAATATTCCAATGCTTCCTATGAACAGAAGCTTTGTTTACAACACAATCTGTGTTACAATAGGATGATACCATTACACAACAGATAATCAGATAACTGCACTTTACCACATTCCAGGGTGACATAAAATATGTCACAGGGTGTGATAACATCACAACTAATCTCTTTCTCAAATTACCAACACAAACGCAGGTTTCTGGTGGCACAACATTAGCAAAGTTTATTTCAGAAACAGTGAAACAACAAGAGCATCGTTTCCTTCTATACAAAAGAGACCGAAAAAAAATGTCAGGGACGCGGGGGAGGTAGTGGTGGGGGAGGGAGGGGGGGGTTATTACATTGCCTTATATTTAAGGTGATGGTCTTAAAAACCTAAGAACATAAGAAATATCTGGCCACATTTTCCTGGCTGATACTTCTCCCATCTAATTCAGGAATGCTGAGGCAAAACAAAATGCTCATACTGTTGCATCAGCTGATTTCATCTAACTCAGCAAACACTGGGATACGCAGTGCTTTCTCCCCAGTTCTTGGCACTATTCGAAAAGAGAAGCAAGTTTCTCCCAGTGTCCTGGCCAACAACTTCCCTCCCCTGTGGGACATTGCTGTGAGCAAACTGGCTACCACGTCCACCTTCAAAATATATGGTCAATGCACTTTAAGTGTATCCCGTGAAGCTCTCTGAAACATCCTCCCAACCTAAAAGGTGCTAAACAAATGAAAGGATTATTTTAATTATTATAATAATTCACAAGAAACTCTGAACAGAACAAAAAAGGTAATTCAACATAAGAAGGTTCATCAACATAAGTCTAGCCTGAGAAGACAATCTAACTCTTAAATATTGACATTCAAGCAGACACTCACCACTTGCTAAAGGCCCAGATGTTATTTTTTGGAGTCAGCTGAGTGTCTTGACAAAGGCAAACCATACATATGCAAATTCAAACCAAAAATTCACACAGCTATGCTAACTTACACGTGGAAAGGAATGCACACACTCCCCTTGGAGCGATGCACCCTTCTTGCCAATTTCCACAGAGTGTTAGGCACAGATTGGTGAGTGCCAAGATTGGGAACCCGGTGTGTGTGTTGGGGTACTGCTCCAACTTAACAAGTTAACTGTAGGCTTCGCCACTGAGAGCAGCAGAGACCAAGAGAAAAACTCGCAAGATGGCAACAATAATAATCCTTGCATTTGATACAGCGCCTTATCACGTCTTTGAGACGTCCCAAAGCGCTTCACAGAATATACTGTAAGATGAATTGACTGTATGCTTTGTGGGCAAAACGCAGCAGCACTGTCCCCAAAAACAGTCGTGGATTGAGCGACCAATTTGTTTTCGTCGAAGGAATTCTTACCCCCAGAAAAGTGACCCGCAAAGCGACGAGCAACCGGGTTGCTTTTCCGGGGGTAATAATCCCTTGAGAAAAATGAAGAAGAATTTGGTCACTCGGTCCACGGCGGTTCGTGGGGCACTGCTGTGGGCAATCGGCCGCCGCGTTTCGCCCACAAAACACACAGTCACTTGATGTGCACTTTGCAAACGTTAACGAAGTGGGTGCGACAGTTTTCTTGTTGCACCACTGCAACTGCGGGAGAAACCCACGTTGCAGTGATGACCAATGTTCCAGCGATTCTTCCCCTGAAACTGGTTCCTGTTCACCGCGAAGCCCTCGAGGCGGAACCTCACTCCCGTCTGGACTGAGGCGCAGAGCACTGTCGCCCTTTTCCCCAACGCGGCGCCTCTCCCAAAGTACCCAAAACAACATCGGAAACCCAAAGTCCAGCGAATGTGCTCCGAGTGTCGGTCAACAACATTACCTGTGAACGGTCCCCGCGACTCCGAGCGCGCAAACCGCCTCCTGTCGGGAGCGGCTCCAGAGGAGGAGGAGGAGGAGAGGCAGGAAGTTTGTGGGAAGGAAATGCGAAGTCAAAGCAGCGGCTCCAGAGGGAGGGTTTGGGGCCGCGGCTCTCAGGGGCGGATTGGAGTGTGTGAGTGAGTGTGTGAGTGGCACTGAGTGTGTGCAGCACTGCCCTCCCCAGCCCTGCCCCCAGCATTGCCCTGCCCTCTGCCCTGCCCCCAGCATTGCACTGCCCCAGCATTGCCCCAGCCCTGCCCCAGCATTGCCCCCAGCCCTGCCCCCAGCATTGCCCCCAGCCTGCCCCCAGCATTGCCCTGCTCAGCCCTGCCCTGCCCCCAGCTCAGCACTGCCCTGCCCTCCCCAGCCCTGCTCAGCCCCCAGCTCAGCCCCCCCCCCCCGCCCTGATCAGCTCTACCCTCACCACCCACAGCCAGTCACAGCCACTGCGCGCACTCCCCCCCCCCCCAGCTCTGCTCCAAACGCTGCAAGTCACAGGGCTCAGCCCAGCGCTGGCCACATGCCCATTGACCAAGCTGTGACCAAGCTAAGCATGCAGGGTGACCCAACCGCTCTCTCCCCTCTCACCCTCTCCCCTCTCCTCCCCACCCCCGCCTTCCGACTATCTCAACAACTCCCCTTCTCTTGCATTGGGGAACCTTGAAGATATCACTGGGTTACAAAGGTAGGAGGGAAGACCAAGGAGAAGTGGAACTCCACCTGTGTCCACGTCCTGCCATTTGTTTGATGCTGCATACACCAGAGAAAATGCACAGATTTGTTCAGCCCGGTTTCAAATATGTCCATTCACCTACCCTATCCCCCATATGTATAGCAACTGGCAAAATCCCATATAGGTGAAACGTTGGGATATCGCTGTGACCCAAAACTGTACCAGGGTTTTACTGGATCCAATGGAAAGGATTGCCTCTCCTCAATCTGATCAGAAGACAAATATTCCAATAAAAGCGCATCGTACCTTTCACCTACCAAACTCCACTTTGTACCCATCCTGTTTTTACATGGCACAACTATCCATCAAATAAAGTTCCGATCATCACATAAATGCACTGTTATACTACCAAATTCACTCCATCAATCTGCTACTTTGCAGGCCACTAACAGTAAATATTTTATTACTGGGTATCAGTGAAACACTCATGATTTAGTCAATAACATTGAGCCCAAGTAAATGGGATCAATGCTATTCTTTTGTTCTCTTAAATTAATTTTTAGGAGCTTCCTTTGAGCAATTCCAAAATCCCACGTAATAGAAAGTTTTGTTTTGCCAGGTTAGTTCATTCTCACCCATCCAGTATTAATCTATTAAAGTGACTATCAAAGCCTGTTAAAGTCATTTATTGTTACAGCAAAACCTTATTCCTTAAACTTGCATTTGTTTGTTGAAATATATTGACTATCACCTCAGAGTGCCTTGGTATATTTCAAACAGCAAGCGAATATTCCAAAAGGTTTGATAGTTAAATGTTTAAAAGTAGCTTTGCTGGATGGGTTGAGTTTAGCTTCTGATTACATTACATATTTTTCTGGAAAGATGTTCACTCCTCTGAGATAATGAACCATCGGGTCCTTGAGCATAGATGTAAGAACAATGAACCACAGAAAGAAAAGGCTGCAGCCTCAGACACCTGCCTATCTCAAGGCTGAGAAACAAACAGACTGTGGGAGGCTGCCCAGAAGTTGTCCATATCTCTCTCTGTGCAAAGCAGCCTTCGAAGGGTGGGGCCTATCTCTGTGACACGGGGAGGTGGAGATAGAAACGCATAAAAGAAATATGTAACTGAAATAGCTGGAGTTGTGTAGAGGGTCAACGCACTTGTTAGAATTTACACTTTTTGTATAATGTTAGAATCACAATAGATGTTGCGAACGGGTTAACTTTTAAGTTAAGTGTGTTGTGGGCAGCTGGACTGAAACTCCCTGCACGTACACGAGATAACGGACTGTCTCAAGGACAGTGCGTTTGTGTGTGTGAGGCACATACACCCCATGAGGTGTTCACGTGAACCCGGCATGATTTCGACAGGTGATCTAATGTCCGCACCATGATTGGATGAACATTGGTATAAGAGTTCCGATAACTTTATGTACGGGGCCGTCCCGGGTCGCGGAGACAAGGATATTGGAGATGGAGCCGTCCCGGGTCGTGGAGACAAGGATACGGGAGATGGAGCCGTCCCGGGTCGCGGAGACAAGGATACGGGAGATGGGGCCGTCTCGGGCTGCGGAGACAAGGGTACGGAGATGGAAGACTGAGAGCTGGAAACACTAAGACTGAGGATATCAGATGGAAGATTGAAAGCTGTAAGCAAGAAGACTGAAAGCATGAAGAATCAAGCTTGTGTGCTGGAAAGACAGTCTTGAACACTTGAACTCGAGATATCTATAGTGGTGTTTTTCTGTTATAAGATCTGTTGATTGTACCGGCCTTTGGTCTGACCCATCGGGATATTGGGGAATAACGAACGAATAATAATAAAACAGTCTGGTTAGAGGAATTAGCGTTATTTCCTTACAGATTTGGCTGATTTTATTTTCTAACACACTTCCCAGTGGAATTAATATAGATTCTACTGCAACTATGTATATGTACAGGGGTGAGGGAATTCACCTCCAGTAAGAAAGTGACCTTTAAAGTGAAAGAGTAGTGGGTAATATGTTTTCGGTTCTGACTGCTAGGCATAGAAGTAATAACAGTAGAAGTAGTTGGTCCGTTTGAAACGTGAGGTGCTGGGCTAAGAGCTGATTGTTTCTGTTGAGTTTCCAGGAGCCACTCTCTGTGATTCTGTGTGATAGTTCTGTGATCTCTCCAGTGTATGTCAATGTGTGATCCCAGGTCTACTGTTTAGTCTGGAATACAAAACAGTGCCTGGATACGTGTTGTCATCCCTGTATTGTCAGTACTAAGGGCTGCAAGGTACTGTGAGGATCAGCTATATGTGAGGGGCGATTCCAGAGGCTGAACTCCGTACCGGTGCCGGTTAAAAGACAGTCCAGGGGATTGTCTGTCTTCTGAAGTTTTGTGTTATAGAATCAGTTGTCCCTGAGGGTTTTCCAGGGGCTGATCACTGCTGTGTATTTTGAGGTGTGTTGTTTGTTTGGAGTACTGAGCAACCCCTGTGTGCATGTTGTGTGGTAAATGTTTTGCTCACATAGATGTGTTGTATTGTTAATGTGTTGTTATATGCAGTATAATATGTTGTATTGTTATTGTGTTGTTATATTTAGTATAATTTGATTAGATTTGTTAACCCTGATGTTTCATCTCATGCAATAATCTTTATACTCTTACCATTGCTTGTTGAATTATTAACAAATTGGCGAACCAGCCAGGAGGGCGTGTATCCCGAGTCATTCTGATCGGTTGATCAAGCCGGGACACCATAGGGTAAACCACTCTAAGATAACCTGGACAAAGTTAACATTGGTCAGAGTATAGGTTTAAATTAGCAAACTAATCTGGTCGTAGAAAAATTGTTTTCAATTCTTTATGTGTTAGATAAGTAAGTTATTGCTGTTTTCTGTTCTGTCTGTTGCCTGGTATATCTGTATAAGGGATACAGTGTAGCTGGTTTGTCTTATTTCAGTAATGCTCAAAACCAGCAGTCAAGGATAGAGGGAACACCCATCAAATTTCTGTGGGCATACTGTTTGTTAACCATGATATTATTGTTAATGATTTGCTGTAATTACAGATGCTAATATTAGTTGAAAGGAGTGATGTGGTGGCCGGGGCAGAAGGGAATCGGGAAGATTCTGATTCTACGTCTCACAAAGACATTGGTAACATCAGTATATTAAACTGCCAAGAACAAAAGGAGTTACCGACCTTGAAGGATACATTTTTAACCCTACAATGAATGGTAAAAACAAGCTGTTGGTATACGTGACTGAAAAGGTCCAACTGATCTTGTGAAGAGATAGTCTACAATCAACATTGGTTGAACCACGATATCAAGTCAATTCCTAATCACAGCCACTGTATCCCACTTTCCAGCTTTTTCTCACATCCTTTAAGATCTACTTCTCAGGATTTAGCCAGAAGGCACTGTATAACTGATCCTGTAACATCTGCTATTTGGTTAAATATTTCTCCTCTGCTCAGCCATACTCTAAAAACACATCTGGGATCAGCATTTAAGAGACTCAAAGAGCAGGAATCGGATTCAAATACAGGTGGGTTACATGATGCACAAATACATTGCAGAACCACGTTGATGGGTATCTTAAACTTCCAATTCAAACATTGCACATTAACACTTGAATTACACCATTTACATCACAAGACAAATCAAGAATTGAATGAATGTCGAACCAAAATTTTTTTTTTTTTCTACAATACAATACAAGACAAGACAAGACATTGCTTTCAGGACAGACTCACCAGGTATCAGCAAAGTGAGCAGTTCGCAGAATGAGGCTGACACACAGAGGGAGCTGGAACTAATGAGCTACACATACATTAAAATAGTAAAATATACTATAAGTGCAAAAAGCATTTCTCATCTCTTATTCATTTCATTTCTGATAAAATATTCCAAACATGTACAAATATAGCCTTATGTTTGCGTCAGCCACATTACCCATCATTTACCCAGACAAAGACTTAGTCATAGCATGTTGCAGCACAGAAACAGGCCACTTAACCCACCAAGTCTGCACTTGTGTTTTTCTTCACATGAGCCAATCTAATTCCACTCTCCTACTCACTTCCTTGCCCTTTGATTCTCTTCCTTGCTTATAAGCATTTAGTAACTCATGGTTACGAAATTACTAAATACTTACAAAATTTTGGTAATAAAAATTGGCTATTGCCCATATCTATAAAAGAAACCTACAGAGAACTCTAGGTAAATATTATAAACAATGTGCTTCCATCCTTCAATACGGTCCCATATGTTACACAGGATTGTTACTAAAGGTGTTCTACCTTTTCGTCAAATCATCACATGAAAGTGTTCTGAAAACAAAGCGAAGGATTAGATATAATTGAGGTAAATAAAAGCATCTCAATTGGTTGACCTGTTAAAGAATGCTTTGGAGAATTTGTTTAGCGTCCTGGTTATAATTTTGTAGTAAACATCAGATAAACTATATAAACGTTATT